AATCTGTAATTTTTGCTTGCCATTTTTATCCAATGATTTTAAACCCTTTTCCTTGTTTTCTAGGGCTTGTCGTTCTAGTCTCTTATTTCTTGGTTCTCTTATTAACTGCAGTTCTTTAAGTTCGTCAGATTTTTTCACTGCATCGCTAATATTTACTCCTGCTTTTGCCACAGCAAGAGTTGCGCTTCTGATGTTGTTTGATATAAAATTGGCCACTTTGGGGATGAGAGATGTTAGCGCAGAGAAGAAACCGTCTCCTTCGATTTTTTTTTCGTGTTTTAAAATAAAAAAATTTAATGCGGTTATTTTTACTGTATTATTATTAGTGATCTGTGGTTTGGGTAATTTATAATTGGGGAGTTTGTTATAATACAGTTTGGAGGAGTGTGTTATAATACAGTTTGGGGAGTCTGTTATAATACATTTTAACAGTTTAGGGAGTCTGTTATAATACATTTTAACAGTTGTGTCTTTTCGGATATGACGCATTGAAAAAGCTGCGCATGCGCAGAAGTGAAATGGGTCATATCCGAAAAGACATATACTACTTACCTATGGGAAACTTCGAATTCTTTCTGTAATCGTTTTTCCTTTGGTTTGGTGTCTTGTAACGAGTGCTGGCGGTCTACCGAGCAGGAAAAGGCTCAACGCTCGGGCAAAATAACCCCATTTGGCAAAGTAAGGTCTTGGCATTTTCGCTCTATGTGGCGTATGGGAAACTTCCCATTCTTTCTGTAATCGTTTTTCCTTTGGTTTGGTGTCTTGTACCGAGTGCTGGCGGTCTACCGAGAAGGAAGAGTCCCAAGACTTGGGCAAAATAACCCCTTTTGGCAAAGTTAAGTCTTGGTATTTTCGCTCTATGTGGCCTATGGGAAACTTCCAATTTTTTCTGTAATCGTTTTTCCTTTGGTTTGGTGTCTTGTACCGAGTGCTGGCGGTCTACTGAGCAGGAAAAGGCCCAACACTTGGGCAAAATAACCCCATTTGGCAAAGTTAGGTCTTGGCATTTTCGCTCTATGTGGCCTATGGGAAACTTCCAATTCTTTCTGTAATCGTTTTTCCTTTGGTTTGGTGTCTTTACCGAGTGCTGGAGGTCTACCTAGCAGGAAAGGCCCAAAACTTGGGCAAAATAACCCCATTTGGCAAAGTTAGGTCTTGGCATTTTTGCTATATGTGGCCTATGGGAAACTTCCAATTTTTTCTGTAATCGTTTTTGCTTTGGTTTGGTGTCTTGTACCGAGTGCTGGCGGTCTACCGACCTGGAAAAGGCCCAACGCTCGGGCAAAATAACCCCATTTGGCAAAGTTAGGTCTTGGCATTTTCGCTCTATGTGGCCTATGGGAAACTTCCCATTCTTTCTGTAATCGTTTTTCCTTTGGTTTGGTGTCTTGTACCGAGTGCTGGAGGTCTACCGAGCAGGAAAGGCCCAACACTTGGGCAAAATAACTCCATTTCGCAAAGTTATGTCTTGGCATTTTCGCTCTATGTGGCCTATGGGAAACTTCCAATTCTTTCTGTAATCGTTTTTCCTTTGGTTTGGTGTCTTGTACCGAGTGCTGGCGGTCTACCGAGCAGGAAAAGGCCCAACACTTGGGCAAAATAACCCCATTTGGCAAAGTTAGGTCTTGGCATTTTCGCTCTATGTGGCCTATGGGAAACTTCCAATTCTTTCTGTAATCGTTTTTCCTTTGGTTTGGTGTTTTGTACCGAGTGCTGGCGGTCTACCGAGCAGGAAAAGGCCCAACACTTTGGCAAAATAACCCTATTG